CACTGCATAATCTTTCCCTTCTTTATTATATCGTTCATTTTATAGAATTCTCCTGTCACTTTGCATAATACTATAAATAAACGAATGAATCACTAAATGAATAAACATTTAAGTAATATGTGTGATCCATCGTCTTTTATGAGGTATTTGTAACAATATTGACACTCTATATCATTCTTCACAGAACACACATGTTGTACTACCTAAGCACAAGATGCACATGCTTTCCACAATGCGACCGTAACTTATTGCTAATGAGCGACCAGTGCATACGTATTATACAGGGTGTCTCATGCAACCGGGACGTGCTATATCTTCAAAATGGTTGGTGGTCGAAAAAAAATGTTATAGGGTAAAGTTAAATGGTATTAGACGCTAAATTATTCCTATATTACTTTTATAAACTTTTCCGCATCCATGCATCTGAAAAGTGCAACTGCATTTTTTATTTACACTAAATCATCGATATTAAGGTACTTATGTCTCGAAACTACTAGTCTGACAATCATTTGCGTAAATACTTCGGGTGTATCAGTACACGTGTGCTACTTGGAAAGCAAACATCAAATTGAAATAACGTCCGAACTGATCATTTTAAAACACAAAGTACCTTAATACTTTTTTTTTGAAGGGGTGAAAACTTGCATCGATAATACGAAAAAGCACATGATTCAATTGTATTTTTCAGATGAAGCAATGATTTCGAAAAGTGCATAAAGTAACATAGGAATATGGCAGCTTCTAATACTATTTAATTTTACCTTATGACATTTTTTCCATTATCCCTTTAAAAATACTGCTTGTCCCAGCTGCGATATATTATATACACACCTACACGTGTACACTTTATAAGGTTAAGTTGAGTTCCTTTTTTTTTTAAATTTCAGACACTTTATTTTTTATTGATTCATTCAATAGCCGTACGACGTACAGTTGTTTGCAGATTTTTTCCCTACTTCCCGTATTTTTTTCGGTTCACCTAATGTAGCGTGTAATGTGCATTTACTAATTAAGAGACCGACAGAATGGTACATTCACCGTTCCATTTTTTAACTCTTTCACAGTTTTGCCACTTGGTCGCCATCTCAGTGAAGTAGCATATAGCAGTATCATTAAAGTTACAAGTGAATGATACGACGAGCGTCATTCGCCGTAGAAAAATAAAACACAGCCATCTAGACTTGTGTTGGAAGCAGGACATAATTCCTTCGTTTCCTTTCAAGTTTGTTCTTTCCTTTTATTACATGCCTTGTCTGCGTTCAGAATTCAACGACAAGCGACGCTTTATCGATTAAATAACATTCATAAAAGTTAGAAGACATTTTTTTGCCATCCCACCTAGTTTTGTTCACAATTTCTTTTTTTTTCACCTACGCGTGTGCTCTTCTTGTTTCATTCCTTTTTCTCTCTGTCTCACCCTCTCATTTTCTTTTTCTCTTCTTTTCCATTCACCTTTCGCATTCATATCACGCGCCTACAATAACTAAATGTTTCTTTTTCTTTCACCTTTCTTTTTTCGAGTATTAACTTTTTATCTTTTCATCCTAAACTGAAAATTGCTCGAGGTAGATACACAAGCACATACAGATTTTTTTTTTGTCTTTCACCAAGAGCAAATCGAACAAGAGCGTTCACTCGAATTTTCGAAGATGCGTAACGTAAAAAATAAAAAAGAAAGAAAGAAAATTATGATCTACAGCATGCGACAACAATTGTATTCGATAGCAGTTGTACGTGCTTAGATTTTGCTCACACTGTTACATGTTGCACATGATAATATATGGCTTACAATATTTCGCTCGCTCTCTCTTTCTCTCTCTCTCGCACGCGCGGTCGCTCTCTCTCTCTCTCTCTCGCTCTCTCGAATATGCTTTGAAATTGCGCATTCTTTTCGTAATAATGATTGCAGTCACAGTCAAACGCCACTTTTTTTCTACATAATATGTAATGATTACTATTCGTAGCCCCTCTCTCATTTCTTCGCACTACCCTTTAATTGATCTTTGTTTAATCGTTCCACTCTGCGTAGATCCATAGAAGTTTCCTAAGGCTGCTCGTCCGATATATTTTAGAGGACCAAACATAATGTTTAAAGGTACTTGTACCATACAAATATATGACTGTTCTTCCGAGAGAAGTAACATAAAAAATAAATACTTAACACATTAATAAATAGTCTCATTAATTATACCATCATCCTATTTCCTCTAAAGATGCTAATACGTTCTAAATCATAATACCGTATTTCAATTTATACATTTACCAGTTACGAAACGGTGGACATCTGACTATCGTACGAATATTTGTCAACTTTTCTTTTATATATATGTATATGAAACATACGACGACAATAACTACACATCGCTTGATCACGACATTTGAACACCTGCAGGTTCGTAATACAAATTAAAAAAAAAAAAAAGGGGCGGAAGAAAAAAAAGAGAAATACACATAGAATTAATGACATCGCGGTTGTTTGACGGTCAACACCACTGTTACGTATAAAAGTACCGTTATAATTAGAAGAGAAAATAAGTATGAAAATACTTTCGCGTATAGTTGTTATTTGCATAATCTCAGTCCACCACATTATTCGTAAATGAACATATTACTTTCAACTGCACAAGATTAATAACTTACAATGACGCGTCATATGTATTCGTTGCCTGAGTGAACAATTGGACAGTAGAATCTAGAATTTTCCTGATTTTAAATACAACTGGAGAAGTTTTATTTCACGGAACCAGCAGCAGAACACACTGATGGAATCAACCGGATTCCGTCGATTATTTCGAATTTTATAAATAAAAACACATGCACGGGGCCAAGCATACACACATATACACACACATGCACAAACAAATAAAAATTCAGGATAATAGTGTCCAAAAGTCACCTATCCTCTCTTTCTCTCTATCTCTCTCTTTATCTCTCATAATAAAATAACGCAATGCAGTACAGCAAAGCCGTTATGCAAAGTTTACGCATACAGTACCACCTATGAAATCGACGTAGACGCTTTTATCGAAAATATGAAATAATAGTAATAATAGTAAATAAGAATATTAGCGATAGTGGTACTAGTGTAGTAGTAATAGTAGTAGTAGTATTACGGCATGATATCTACTATCTCTAAAATAGACTAAGGTCCAACTGAACAATTGTGCCGTAAAGTTGTACACTATACATACAACGAAAAAGTGACCGATCACTTTTCGTTGTGAGTTCTTCTTGCAATGTTCTTGGCAGGGCCTCCGAGTTGACAAACGGACACGACGATAAATTAACCATATTAGAATTTGAAACCACACGCACCATGGTCGGAAGCCAACAATATTATTCATAACTCTATTTGAAAGTCCTAGTTGAAATAATTATTCCCCGTCAAAGAGGCATTCACACCTTGGTCCACGGTCACACGGCATACGATTCACGCACGCGATTGCACTATAAATCTATTAATATAACAGGTATAAGTATGACATGTCTAAAAATCCTGTCAGTTGTCACGCAAATTGAATTTGTACTTTTTCTCACATACATTAGGTAAGAATCCGATACGTTTGCACAAAAAATATCGACATTCTATAAAGCCCTACCAACATCATCAACCAGTAATGACGCGTTTCGCTGTTATTATCTATTATTAATGCGCGTTTATTTTAAGTAGAAACAATGCCCCAAAAACGTGTTTTTAGGACTGTAAGAACTAGCGTTCAGCCCTCCCCGATCGGACAACAGCCACGTTGTTCTTGATGTTCAATTCACATTTAACGACTTAATATTTCCATTCTCTGCTCAAATAACTGAGCTTATGCTTTTCCTGACATTCAATACCGATTAATTAATACATTTAATATTTGTATTTCGTTAAATTGTTCATTTGTCAATTCGCATGGAAATTGAATGTCACAAGATCGTTCGATATCACAGTCGTTTTTCAATTATTTTAATGTTTATGTATTTACGAATATTACTTAATATGTATATATATAAATGTATGTATGTATGTACATATATAACATATCGTACTGATAAATACAGTTATAAAATATGAGTGCGCCTTATGCCTCCTTATTTCAAAGGGCTTGCTTTTGTATACATTTTCTTGTTTTTTTTTTTTTTTCATCTTGTAAAGTTGAGCCAACTAACAACGCATGTTTTTTCGCTCTTTATGTTTTTATCTCTTTTAAAGTTCCTCCTCTGTAACTGCAACCGTATTTTTACTCACTTTTTAAAATGTAAGCTTTCTCGTTCTAGAGCACTCGCATCCAGTATTGCGATCTGAGATTTTTTTTATAACGCACCGTACCATTTTCACAGGACAACGTCTTTGTTACGTTTAGAAATTCTAATTAGAGAACGTTAAAATTCAGGTACAAATATACCTGACAGTGTGGTGAAATGTTTCAGCCTACCCTAACTGCGATGACCAAACGTTTAAATAAAACAAGCTCTTTTAAATCATGGGTTACAGAAGCAACAACTTTACAGCATTGAACTTTAAAATTTACTTATATATATCAACGGGATCTAACAAAAATATAAGCGGGATTTCTAAAAGTATCTCAAGACGCAGCCTGTATCCTGTTCATAATATCAAAGCTTTCGACTACTAGAAACTTTACACGATTTAGTCGATTAAACCATGATATTGCCGGCGCAACGTCGTCTTTGTCTGGGGACGGCAAAACAACAAAGTACCATTCGTCGCTGGACTATAGTAAATTTAAAACAGGAATCGTCAAGAAATCTATGGCGATGGCGATACGGCGTATCTTAGGCGCTTAGTCAGACATACACGTTAAAACAAAAAGAAAAAAAAATAAAAGAGAAAGAAATGGCGCCATTGGTTTAACTCAAACTACACAAGTTACTGGCCATTCAGGCGAGAATAATAAAGCACTTGTGCATTTAAAGCTCTATGATTACTCGAATTTACACGCCACACTTCTCGAAGATACGCCCACCACGTCTTTCAAAAATTTAAATCATGAAGCCACAACGAGCCCCATAGTCTTGACAGGAGTTCTAAAAAATTTCACTAAGTTTCTTCACCTACTATGTGTCATACCGTTATGTCTTATTTAGACATTAACGATTGCTCGATTTGATTCATTAATGATTATACTACTTGTATTCTTCAACACGCACGACAACGAAACCTTGATAGGATCTTATACCTTTCTTAGCATTTGACAAATCCTGATTAGAACTCTTCAGAATGAGATCACCATCTTCCACATCGTACAATAATTTCCTTTCGCAGTTATTGATGTTGGAATTGTACTTAGGATTTGCCAATTATGGTTCGTCGCACGCGAATAAAAGTATTTATGGAATTGAATAAACACAATTACTTTTTTTTAGAATGAAAATTGTAGTGCACAGGCAGTCAGCGAACGTGATGTGTCTATACGTGATACTGTCTTTTCTTGTGTATACGTATACGCGCGCGCAAATGCGTGCGTGTTGTATCCGATGTGTATGTCGTACGTGTCTTTCTTACATATATTTGAATTTACGTGTACGGTAGTAATAATGGTAAAAGTGGAAATAGAAACGGTGATAACGATTTACTTGTCCCACCAATCAGGATCGTTACTGTTGACGTTGTTAGCAGAATTACTATACGACGAACTATTATAATTACCTCCGTAATTTCCGTAATTTCCTAAAATAATTAGTTACAAAGATGTATATCTCTTTTCTTATCGATTCTGAATAGTTTTAGATCAATTTAAAATAAATACGTACTAACCTCCGTAACTTCCAGGCCTATTGGAGGAACCATTGTTACGGGCAGATCCGGAACTAGGTTGCTGGCGATAATCTCTTGCACCAAATCCGCTAAATCGGCCTTTAGTGGTGCCAGTTCGACGAGATCCACCTCCAGAATATCTTGCTTCAGAGAACATGTCGTCTAACCATGGTGGGAGTACTTGATTAGCCTCAATCAGAAGAGATACCAAATCACGTACTAAGTTATGGTTCTTATTGTTGAAGAATGATGTTGCTAGACCTGTTAGATGAATAAAATGACATTACCACAAAGATAAATCAACAAAGTAAAAATAAATAAAAAGTAATAAACGAAATTATTAGAACGAACCTAAATTTCCCATGCGACCAGTACGACCAATTCGATGGACGTATTCTTCTACATCTCCAGGTAAATCGAAGTTTATCACATGTTTAACATGTGGAATATCAAGTCCACGGGCAGCAACAGCAGTAGCAACAAGTATAGGTGCTTTACCAGCACGGAAACGACGTAAAGCTTCTTCTCGTTCACGCTGTGTTCGATCACCATGAATACTGGTGACTGGATATCCTTCATGATGCAAAAATTCTTCTAACATATCTGCACCCTTCTTTGTTTCCACAAACACCAAAGTCAATGATTCTGCTGCTCAAATCGAAACATAATTACATTACACTTCTACATAATATATCATAACGTCTTTTAAATTTCTGTTGCATTTTTATCACTTACATGGATCTGAGAATTTACTAGATTGAAGAAGATCAAGTAAATAAGAACGCTTATCATGTTCTTCCACCCAAACAATTTTTTGGGTGATATTCTCAGATGTAGAACCAACACGGCCTACAGCTAAAAAGATGTAGTTACTGAGGAAATCTCTAGCCAACATTTGAATTTCTTTTGGGAATGTGGCTGAAAACATGAGAGTTTGTCTTTCCCCAGTAGGAGGCATTGTATCCTCTTGAACTATACGTCTTATCTGTGGTTCAAAACCCATATCCAACATACGATCGGCTTCATCCAAGACTAAATATCTAAAAATAATAATCGAATATAAAACTATAAATTCAAAATGACAGTGACAATGCCAATAGTCATTATTTTACACTTTAATACGAAACAAAATGAAATAATATAATGTAAATTATGATGTGCGAGTGTACGCTGTTATTAAACGTAATAATAAATTAAATATTTGAAACTAATAATGCATATATTACAAAAGTTTTGTACGTACCGACAATTATGTAAACCGATTTTACCCCGCCCCAACATATCCACGAGGCGACCAGGTGTTGCTACAAGAAGATGGCAGCCACGATCTAATTCTCGCATTTGATCAACAATGTTTGAACCACCATAAACAACAGCAGGACGCATACGTGATCTGTATGCAAATTTTCGTGCTTCATCATATATTTGAGTGGCCAGCTCTCTCGTAGGTGCTAATACTAGACCTAGTGGGTACTGTTTACGCTTGCCAGAGGCATTAACATGTTGTGGCGGTGGACGTGGCCCGCTTTCATAAATCTGATTTAATATTGGCACTAAAAAGGCCGCTGTTTTACCGGACCCTGTTTGGGCGCAGGCCATAACATCGCGACGCCCGATAATAATCGGTATCGCGTATTTCTGTACTGGTGTAGGTTTATCATAACCAGCCAAAGTAATGCTATTCTTTATTATCTCCGTCAGCTTAACCTCATCAAACTAAGACAACAATGAAAAGAGATAAAATGGAAATATACAATACATTAATAACTTATGTGCTTTTATTATAACTTTAAAACTTACAGATGTGATGTGCGGAGGTATGTTATCTCCAGTAGCCTCAACTGGGATATCCTCATATTTACTAAAGTTAATACCAGTATTCCCAGTACCAAATAATTCCACCTCCAGCCGTTCGTCTCTGGAAGTGGGAATTGTCCAATCAATCTCAGAATTTCTTCTGCCTCCTCCCCCCTCTCTTTCATCCTTCCATCTACCACCCATTCTGTGATCGTTTCTAGTCTCTTGCCAGCGATCGTTTCTAGGTTGTTCTTGCCAACGATCATTTCCGGAGCTAATCGTGCGCTCCCGTTCTCGTTCACGTTCAGCAGTGGGGTATCTAAAATCTCTTCCATTTTCTTGATTAGTGCTGCGTCTATTGCGGCCACCAAAATTCCCGAAATTTCCAAAATCGACATCGCGAGAACGTGTATCTCTATATCCAGAACCACCTCCTCTACCCCTTTCACGATCCCTATCCCTATCCCTTTCACGATCACGTTCACCTCCTCTGTCTCTTTCAGAATATGGTCTTGTGTTGGAAGAAGAATGATGATCCCCGCCAGAAGGCGCGTTACCTATAATTAATTAATATTACCATTTTTTATAGTTCCTTCATTTAATAATATAAAGACAGTATCACCAAGAGGCTCTACTGACTCATAAATTCTTTCAGTAGCAACATCCTCTAAATTTTCAAATGCTTATTAAGTACTTCATATTATATTTAATTAGATTGAAGTTATCTTGTAATCTAGAATATACAAGTAAACACAGTTAACATGAATGAATTTCTATTTTAAAATTGGAATTACAGATGCAGTAAAAGTAATGTATAAACAGTATAGTGACTATTAAACATATACACTTCAATACTCACTTCCAGACTTATTTCGCAGATGCGGTGGCACGTAGCGACCCCCACTTGGCTGGCGGGAGCCCTGCAAGTCCAGACCAGCTAACTAAACCATAAAATATACATGTATAAAATCCCAAAAATTTACAAATTATAACATTCAATAACCTTAAGTAAACAATTGATATTTTAAGAATATAAGATACATATATAAAACAAATTCGATTGACCAAGCCAAAAGAAAAGAAAATAGGAAATGCGTATATTATAGGTAATTCACGTAATCGTAGGAATTTGAACGTGATAAAAAAGTAATGCAAAATGCGTCATGGCACGAGGCATGCCGTTCCCGGAATTGGTTGCCGCCATTACAAAGCTATACGTCACAAATGAACTCGATGATGACCCAAGTCTATAAAATTTATAATGCTATGAAAAAGACACGGAATTAAATGATACATAAAAGTATAGGTTATAAAATACTGTTTACAAGCAGTCAGGTATGATTCTATAAAATAAGATTTTTATAACTGCATAAAACAATAAAAGATTCGAATAGAAAGAGTAAAGGGAGAAATGGTAGACTGAAACAACGGTTGACAAAAATGCAAGAAACCTTTAATTTCCTTTACCTGCTGCTCTAGACCTGATCCATTCTGGTTGGCTGCATTACTCATATTACTCCGCCTCGGTGCGTATTTTTCGTGGCTCTGCCGCAGAAGCTCTTAGCTATTTCTCGCCTAGACAATCACTAAGCAAAAAATTTCAATTGTTCGCTCCCTTTTTCTTTCCTCTCCTTTCTTCC